ACTGAGTGGCCAGATTATTATGACCACCCCATCAGTACTTCGTTGGGCCGCCTCGTAAGTCCACCAGATATTGAAAGGTGATGCGAGGAATCCGACACTGCACTTTTGCCCTTCTGTTGTCTTGTACCAGTCTTGCCACTCTACGTTCTGCCCTAACATTGAGTATTCGCTGACGGCCACAATTCACACGCTCAGACCCAGATTTTCGGCTGACAGTCCAGTCTTTAAACACTTTAACAACAGCTGCTCTTGAACATTTAACGATCTGCATAACTATGGGGAAAAGCCCTGACCCCATAGTTCTCCTTTAAGCCAGTCATGTGATTATCCAGGGCCAAGTGCTTTCTCCTCTCTGTTTACTTCCTCCTGGGTTTCCATGTGTGTGACGTGATAGATTACATTGGCTGTCCACCGGAGGGGTCCTCTCAGAACCCAGAAGACTACTGACATCAGGCTGAGGGGAAGGCAAGGGGACCAGCCAGGAGGGTTACTGTGTAGGCCACCGACTGAATCCATGTTGGCAAGGGAATAGGATAGGGGAAGAGTGTAATCTGTTTACAGCACCACATCCACATTATTGCACTGTCTTGTAATTAATAGTGATCTGCCAACCAACACATTGTCCCACTCTTGTTTTTCTTTCTAATATGTTTCCCAAAAAGATGCTGCACAATATCTCTCAATGCAGATGTCTAAGGCAATGTCACAGTAAATTATCCAGAGAGACAGCTAATCTGCTTGTTAAATAATATGTGCATTTTTAATCCTTTAAGTATTTACTTGTCATATGTGGCTCTTTAACCTCTTGCCGTCCGCCCGTAGTAAAAAAACGGACGGACGGCACTGCTGCATTGGCGGGTTGCCGTCGCCAGACGGCATTTTTTTTTCTGCTCGCGTGGATGTGTATTACATCACTTCTGCATTCACCTCTCAGTCATCTGGCTGCTATAGCCAGAGAGAAGAAGCTGATGAAGCAGATCTCTGCTTCATCAGCTTCTTTTGGGGTCCACAGGTGACAGGGGTCCTAGAGACCCCTAATGTCTCCATAAAGAGGACCTGTCAGTGTGCCTTTGCTATTATATAGGGGGGATTGTTATCCCCCTATATAATAACAAAAAGTGCAAAAAAATAAATATATATTAAAATAAAAGTCACATATAAAATAGTAAAATAAAATAAAAGTCACATATAAAAAAAGGTGAAAAAACCCCCAAAATGTTTAACTCCCCCACGTTTACGCGCCTATAAACGTAAATACGCGTCCGGTGCCCCAGCGCGCAAAAATTACAATTGCGCTACACATGTTACATGTCGCAGAGAAAGAAATCATTTTAGGGCCATCAATCACTGATAACACTAAACTGATGAGCGGTAACAGATTTTAAAGCGTCGCCTATGGCCAATTTTGGGTATTATCGTTTTTTGAGGTTTTGCGGACGCAATTTTAAGGCTTGACATGTTTGGTGTCTTTTAACCCGGCGTGACCCCATCTTTTATATTTTACCACAAAATTGGGTAATAAATGTTTTATCATTTAATATAGGGGAAACTTTTTTTTTAATTTCGGTCATTTTTCATTAATATAGTAAAGAAATAAAACCCCCAGTGGTGAATAAATACCACCAAAAGAAAGCTCTATCTGTCCCCAAAAAAGGGTATAAAATTCATTTCAGTACAGCGCTGCATGACGGAATAAATGTCAGTTAAAGTACCGCAGCGCTGAATACTGAAAAATGGCCTGGATGGGAAGGGGGTTTAACACCGCGGATGTCAACTGGTTAAAAAAAAAAACACCCATCATTGCCATTATGACAATCAAACACATTTTCATTAGCCCATAATGTAAAGAAGAAGTTTGCTGTGAGACATGATACATAGGTAAGTAATCAGGAAGACAAAGGATTTACTTATGCCTGGTAAAAAAAACCAAGTATACGGTGTTCACTGAAAATATAGTATTGCTGAAACAGTTGTAAAAGCATAAACTATTCAATATCTATGCTGGTTATTGCGTAATAGCTTTTCTTATTTGTTTATTAAGGGACACAGTCAGATGGATTCTGGGCCATATGGCAGTTATTGAGATGGATAGAGAGAGATATATTTATTTAGACACACAGATTAAAGCTGTTAGGCTGGGTTCACACCATTTTCCGGACCAGATCTGGAACTTGGTGCATTGTGTTTTTGCTGCGATTGGAAAAAATGTTTCTCTTGGTCTTACAGGTGCGTTCCAGCGCATTCTAGACCAGACAAAATAGGACAAGCAGTATTTTTCTGGTCTGGAACGGACTGTGCTGGTGGGAACAGAGGCCAGAAATAGCATAGGGATGCATTTTGGGTCCGGAAACGGTCTGGTCTGGAGGTAATCTGAATGTGGTATGAATAGTCCCTTAGGCAGCCAGGATATAAACCTACTCCCATCATGCTTCAGTTATTGCTAGTGTCCCTAGGAAAATGGGCCTCTTTGGATACATTTAACTTAATATTCCGTTTGTTTTTAATCATGATTTTGGGATTATTTAACTGTCGAGCCATTAGAGCTCATTTTGTAGTTTTCTGGATTGGTTGATCCTTGGCACTGCCTTAGAAACTATACCAGGACCATACCAGTGTAAAGACGTGGGGCTGGCCTGTAATGTGACCCTTGGGCACTGGGTTCTGCTTGTAGCACTCTCCAGACACTGTACTGTATATAAAGCGTAGGACACTTTACACCCACTGATGGCATCCTGTCCCTGTAGACTCCCCTAGGAGCATGCCTACCTGAGGGGAAAAGGCTATTTGAACATAGCAGCTGATCCCTGCATTAGCACTTTCTGATATTAACCACTGTGTCTGTTTGCCGCAGGGTGCTCTTTCAGACTACCATGTAGTAAATTTCAGGGGCTTGTCCCCTTTTTGACAGCCTGGCATGTGATAATATTTCTGGTTCCCCTATGGGGTTAATGCTTTAGATTTTAATGCTGCAACATTTTTAAAAATGTGTCGCAGATACTCTTGGGGAATGCATGATGCTTACACCTTGAATTTGTTACTACATAACACCAATGGATTGCATACGTCCCCTAGTGGCTATTACTCTACCACTACAGTGGGTAAAAAAAGCCTACACACCCTGTAAAAATGGCAAGTTTTTGAAATGTAAAAAAATCAGACCAATATAGAGCTCTTCAGAATTTTTTC